AAATTAAAGAGACACAAGTTTATTTGGGTTTGCGTTTTAGTCCATGATCAGCTGATCCCAAGGCAGAGAGGTGTGGAGGCAGAGAGCTGCTCAGCAACAGTGATCAGGAAGCAGAGGCTCTGAGGAGGAGGAGGGACAGGAAATATAACCTTGCTGGTGGCACCACAGTGAAGGCCTCTTCCAGTCAGGCCTCACCTCCTACCAGTAAGTCAGCTGTAAGCCCCTGTAATCTGTCAGCTTTCCAAGTACCAGTTAGAGTTACAAGAAGCTTTAGAGGAACATCCAGCTATAAATCATAGCATTGCATCATTGAAAGTCTTCATGCACTTTGACCCAGGAAGTAAACTTTTAAGACAGCACATGTGCCTGATTTTGTGTGTGGATGCGATTGTGGGCCAAACTCAGGACCTTGCACACGCTAGGCAAGCACTATATTACTGAGCTCCATCACCAGCCGTCCCTGGACATGTAAAAAATGTCTTGACACAACCATATTTATTGTACAGTAAATGTAGTAATCAAGATGTAGAAAACCTATGGGTCCACCGATAAGTATCTGGTTAAGCAAGCCATGAAGAATAGTGGAGTTATTTAAAAGAATTAGATAAAGTAGCATGTGCTCATGTGGAGTGTCTTCAACCTGTATCATAATGTGGAGAAATCCAGGTGCCCCAAAAGACATATAACTTTATTAAATGATAAAATTCTGTCTCTCTGTGTGTAAACACAAGGGCTACTTGCACATTACCATTAGAGGGGGGTGGGGATTGGAGAAACATCATTTATATCTACTTGACTTTCATTCCATGTTTTTTATCATATCATGTCCAAAGCAAACACCCTTTCTAGAGGGATATTATGGGGGACAAGCCCCAGATATTTTACTCTAACAAGAAAGAGAAAACAGGGCTTATGACATGGAACTGGTTCTTAGCCTTATTCTTCAGGTGACATGAAAAACACACAGGATAATAGGGGGGGAGAAGGCAGGGACATATCTGTGGCACAGGAAACAAAACCAAGGCAAAACCAACATTTCTCACTGTATTGACACTTGCAGTTTAGCTCTGACAACACAAGAAAACTCTGAGCTCCTCTTCAAAGAAGAGACAGAGTAGTGGATGCCAGAATGGTCATTTATTATGTTTTCAATCAGCATTTGAGGACTTCAACTTGGGCTCTAGATAAAAAGTGAAAGAAAAGCTTTGACAGTGGCTGCCTCAGCCATAAGCAAATTCCTATGCTGATGAGGAGTGGATCTTCTAGAAGAAATTCCAGAAGATTCTTTCCTGGGTGGTCAGGTCCAGAATCTCCAAGATCTGCACCATCCCAGGAGTGCACAGCTTGGAGACCTGGCCCAGTTTAGAAAGACTTCCCATGGGGGCTGGGGATTTAGCTCAGCGGCATAAGTGCCTGCCTTGCAAGCAGGCAGTCGTGAGTTGGATCCCTGGTACCGATAAAAAGGAAAAAGACAAAAAAAAAAAAAAAAAAAAGAAAGAAAGAAAGACTTCCCGAGGAGATCTCACTGGAGCTGGACCTGAGGGGTCAGGAGGCGGAAAGAGGGTGAGGGCCTGGCACCCGTACAGGCTGAAGGCAGAGGAGAACTTGGGCTGGTTGGGGACAGACAGTGACCCAGTAGGGCTGGAAGGTCACAGGAATTGGGAACAGATGTGCCAAGGGGGTCAGAGAAGCAGAAAGAAGCTGACATCCAGCTTGCTGTATCCAGAACCACTGGGAAGGTAAGGGAATCAGAGCTCCGTTGAAAAGGGAAAAAGACATCTAGAAAGGAGACCACCTAGCTGGTAGTGATGTGGAGATAACTGATGAGGGGCAGGGAGAATGAATTGGGGAAGTGGCCCGTGTTGTACTAAAATGCTGAAAACTTAAAATAGTTAATTAAGATAGTTAACAGCAAAAATAGTTAAAACGATAGTTATTAACAATATTGTCATTCTGTGCTGAGCTCATTACCCTAGTAACCATGTACCAACCACATAGTTATAGATTAAATGACCGCATTGTCATGCTGTTCTGTATGCATCGTCATCTCCCAGTAACCTCTTTGTTGTGTCAACCTTTGTTTCCCTTATAAGAGACAAATAATGCTGTGTCAACCACTGTTCCCTTTATGAGAGACAAATGTTCCTGGAATTGGCAGACCAAGGACTATAAAGCTATAAATTGGCTAACCACCCACTGTGAAATGCCTCTGACCTCAAGCAACGGGAAATAAAGGTCCACCTTGTTTCTGTTTCTAATCACTGTGTACTTAATGATCCATGAGCTAATCATAAATGAACTATAAAAATCAGTCAAAATTCTAACTCAGTTGCACAGCTTTGCAAATTTCATCTGCACTGTGTCGCTGGGCCAGCTAAAATAAAAGCGCTTCTTTTTAAAACAACATTGTCTTGCCCCGTTTTTCATCTCAGGGGGCCTTTTTGGGGAGTACAACAGCCTGGAAGCCCTTCCTAGGTGGGAAAGAGCATGGACTAGGCTGGTGGAATGGAGACCCTGAAAATGAGCACGTGGTGAATAATTTGCAAGTGGTAGCCACCAATCTCCTACAGCCAGGTGGGAGGAGGGAGAGAGAGAAGCCCAAGCAGATTTGAAAGTTTGAACTCCTGGTGGGGGCAAGGCAGTAAATTTGCATAGTTTCAGGCACCCAGTGTGTGATACTTTGTGCAGCAAAGTACTGCTCCCAGGAACCCCCATCCCTATTGAACCCAGCCCTCTGCTCACTTTTTCTCTTTTGTCTAAGCATTGGGAAATGATCGCATAGGACACAAGGTCAATGACAGGCCTATATCTAAATCCCTGACCTCCTAGGAACACACCATGACTTTCCTTTTCATTCTAGAGTCGGAGCTCTTTCCCAGCTTCTGCCCTGTCCCCTCAGTGCCCTGCTCACCTCAGGAGAGGGCAGGTCTCTTCACTGAGAAGCAATTGGAAGGCAGTGTCTGCATGTTACCATAACCAAGCATGCTAAGCCCTTAAAGCCATCTTCTCCATCTTTCTTCTGTGGACTACCAAGCACCCACCCCGCCATCACTGACCTAGGATTCCTCTCCTCTACACAGAGAGCCTTTGCTCTCCACACTTCCTCCTGCCCTTCCTTGTCAGCTGCTTCCTTTCTAGTGAGGCATCCTACAGATAAGCTCTTAGATGTCTCACCTCAGGACACAATATTCTCCCCTGAGTTCCCAGAGTCTTCCAACCATGTCCTTACTCTATTGGACAGACTACCTTTGCACACACACACACACACACACACACACACACGCACGCACGCACGCACAGCTTACTCATGGACCCCCCTCTGAGTGGGCTTGTCTCCTTGCTCCTTACACTGGTACTGTTGGCCAATCTTTCTGGTGACATTCAGGCCACCGTTTCTCTTATCTTAGCTCCCAACCTCGCCCAGATCTCTCTGATCTTTAGTCCAGAATGCTCCTAGGTTGAGTCTCTGGAATTTTTCTTCTCTGTCTGCCCATAATCTCCACAGGATCCTATTCCTGTTCTTGGTCCTAAAGAGCAAGTTTGCACTGTGTGCAAATACCTCCTGCCATGATGCCCGCAAAATCTCCATTTATGCTCCCCCCAAATCAAATCCACTTTGTTCCCAATTTTCCTATCTCTCTGCCTAGCAATGCTGTCCTTCCTTTGATCAGTTACCCAGATCCAAAATCTGGGAGTCACTTTTCACTTCTCTCCTGCTAACAAACTCAACACCCAGTTCACCAGCAAATCCTGCACCCTCTACTTTCAAACTACATCCACAATTCTGCTTTTGTTCTTTGCTGCCTTGGTCACTCCTCCACAAAGTCATAGGAACCTCCCCATCCCTGAATACCGCACTTCATTGCCAAGGTCCCTGTGTTGCACTGCAGAGCTCTCTATGTTATATTGCTTTGTATTCTCCATAGCGAGGCAGATTGAAACTTGAGAGTGTTATACCAGATTGAGACCTGAATGGGTTAAAAATAAAGTACATTGTCCAAAACAACCCCAACATGTTTGCTTCCTTTCCTATCGAGCCATAGTGATCTGGCCTCAGGATCCCTTCAGAAGCTCTCATTGTCTCCATGCTCTCTCTAGTCTAGTGACAGTGTCCTGCTTGCTGCTGGCACAGGTCAAACAGCTTGCAGGGGCCCCTGGAAGGCGGTATCCGGGGAGATAGGCTCCACCTATTTATCTACTCAGTAGTTTGCCAGGCAGCAGAGTTAAATCTGCACTTCCCTCTGCCTGGAAATCATTTATCCTGTAGAAATCCTGTGCTCTGACCACTCATGTGACTCAGGTCTCTGATGAAGTGTCACAGACATTCTGTTGGGAAACCACAGCCAGGGGCAAGCCCTTGGATTCCTAAACTCTAACTCTAACCCTCTTCTGAACTCATTCCACAGTCCAAGGAGCTGCACTTCTTCTAGAGCCCTGGAAAACCTGGATAGTAACAAGTTAGAGACCACTGAGTATGGCCAGGCAGTGTGTCAACCTCTGGGAAACATGAACCCAGAGGGTCCTAAAACCCTGGGAAGCCCACAGGCCACCAATCTCTGCTTCACATTTGAAGGCAGAGATTAAATTAGCTGGGCTGGGTCTGAATTCAGAGTTATGCCACCCCAAGGATGTGACTCACGGGACTCCAACTTAAGTTGGGCCATTAGGAGCTGAGCAGGCACCTGCAGACACAGGGCGACCCTTCCTAGAGAGAAGGTACTGTGTGGACGCTGGCACAGAGCCCGCAGCCTTTCCAGCTCCCTGGGCAGTGGCTGGAGTGTAAACTGCAAAGCTAATGAGGCCAGAGTGCAGGACCAGGCTGTTACTGGGGCACCTGGGAGGGCTCCAGGCAGTGCTCCCCCCTCCCCCATGGTGACAGGGATCTGAGCCCCTCAAAGCACTGAAAGTGATGGTCTGGAGGAAGGTGGTGTCTTTTAAGCTCTTTCAACCCTTATTGGCCCAGTGTCCCACTGAAACTTTGAAACGGAAGTGGGGGTGGGAAGGGAAGCAAAGAAAAGCAACTGAGAGGAAAGGGGGAGGTTTTGCCTGAGAGAGGTCAGTGCTCTCCTCTCCTCCTGCCCAGCCTCCTGTTGCCTCCCTTCCCTTGTCTTAGCCCCGGCCAGCCACACTGCCTTCTGCTTTAGTCTCATGGCCAACTACGAATTCAGCCCAGTGTCCGGGGATGAACCCTGCTGCCGGATCTCTAAGAAATGCTGGGTCCTCCTCTGCCTTGGTCTCCTTGTCCTGATCGCCATCCCGGTGATCGTAGTCGTAACCCTGAAGTTGGCCCGGAAGCCCGTGGTGTGGAATGGACCCGGCAGCACGCGCAACCTGTTCCACATCGTCCTGAGCCGGTGTGACAACTACACGCAGCAGCGTGGACAGCCGGACCTCAGGTGAGCCGGGATGCGAACAGCCGGTAGCGCTGGATGTGTGCGTCCCGTCCCGGTCCCTTTCCCTGTCTAGGTCCTCGCCCCGTCCCAGTCACCGTCCCCCTCCCAATCCTGCCGCAGGGTGGAAGGCTGGTAGAGAGGGCGCTCCAGGACACCCGCTGAGGCGGCATGCAAGCCTGCGGTGAGGTGGCCGGTGTCTGCAGGGCCCCAGGCAGGGAAGTCCTAGGTTAATTTACACAACATCCTCTGCTCTGCGTCTTGCACGCCCCCAAGCGCTGGCGACTGTTAACAGAACCGCAGCTGTTCTGAGGTGTAGAATGCTGCCGCTCAGCGGAGGAGATCCCTCTCACCCACTTCTGTCCCAAGCGCCGGTCTACCCGGTGGGACTCAGCTTTAAAGATGTGCAGAAAGCAGGCGAGGCTGGGAAGGCCAGCAGGGGAGCTGTGAGAGTGCATGGTGCTAAATGGTGCAAAAACGCCTGGACCCCAATTGCCACAGCGCCCAGAGGCCAAGACCCGCTACTGCAGCCCGCGCTCTGCTCAGCAGCCAGGCATGAAGCAAAGGCAGGGCTTGCAGACTGTTCAGCTCCAAGGGTTTCAGGGTCCAGCTGGGCGTTTCCTAACAGTTAACCGAATGCTTAACTGAAAGAGAAACTAGACTTGGCACTCTTTCAGGCTACGCTCTGCCGTGCAGTGTGAAATCCAACTTGAAAGGGCTCTTAAAAAGCAGTCCTTTGAAAGGCTGAGGCAGGAGGCTCACAAGCCCCAGCCTGGGTAACTTCTGGACTAAGGAATCTGGAGTGAACAGGTTTTGATCAGAGCAAGTAGAGGCCTTATCCCGGGGTGGCTTTAGCTCCTCTGCTCTGAGTCTCAGCACTCAGGTTCACAGTTTGGTGACCTCACTGTGTGACCTTGCAAGAGTTCCTAAGTTTACCTGTGCCCTAGTGTTCTCAACTGTAAACGGAAGTGTTCGCCATAGCCTTCTCCCACGTGGACCAATTGTGGGGAGTAGGAGGAGGAATCTTCTTACCATAACCTGTCAATGTCCTGCTTTGGAAATGTAGCACGCAGACAGCTTTCTGTACTAAGTCCAGACCAAGGTCATTGGCAGTGAATGGCTTGTGTCCACTGAGCAAATCAGCCCTCTAGCAGCAGCACTTATGGTGTCATTTTTTAAATGATCTATAAAGCTTAAGGCTTGATCACGAATCTTTCATTTGGTACTTACTGACCCACTTTTTCCTTTCAGCATCTCTTAATACTCCATAGGAGAAGATGGGACCGTTTTCAGCTTAGAGAAAATTAGTTGTTTCCCATTCTTTAAATCTCTCATTCTTTCAGCCAAATCCATGTTGAGGACCTATTGCGTTGTGAACCAATAAAGTCACAGAAAGCGTGATGAATCCCCCATTCTTATGCAGCTCTTTCTGCTGGTAGAGAGCAGCCCTGAGAACATCTTGGTCTCTGTGCCTTTACATTCTCATGGGGATGGTGCTGGAGGATGCATTTCTAAGGCTGTTGTTGGGTCAACACTTTCACTTTCAATTTTAATTTTTTCCATTTACAAAATTTCCAAATTCCCCCTAAAATAGCTATTCCATTGCACACACTGACATCAACGTATCAGAGGATGTGTGTTCCAGTAATCTCTTCATTCTTAAATATTTTCAACTTGTTTAGGTATGAGAAAAGTGTCTTCCAATTTTTCTGCAGAGAGCCTAAGCATCTTGTGTGCTTTTATCAGCTATTATACTTTTTTGTGATGTTCTTGTTCAGACACGTGGCCATTTCTATAGAGTTATACATTTCCTTGTTTCTGTGAGAGTTCTTCATATATTTTAGATAATGTCATCAAGCACATTATCTTATAGCCCCTTTCCTGGAATTTCACTCTAGGACCATGTTTGATTGGTAGATTCCTGGATTTGATGATGACCTTGAGATCATTTCTTATCGATAGTCTTTTACCAGGAAAGCTGAGGACTGACAGTTTTCTTATTTTTTCCTCTGTTTTGGTCAGTACGGGGGATTGAACGCAGGACTTCCACACTAAACTACATCCCAGCTTTTGTATGTTTTGGTGACCAGGTCTCACTCAGTTGCTAAGTTGCTCACTTTGGGCTAGCACTTGTGCTCCTCCTGCCTCGGTCTCCCAAAGTGTCGGGATTATAGGCATGCGCTACCACCTTCAACTTTTATTTTACACTCAGCAAATTCCAACTTGGAAATGTTTGCTCTTTATTCTGCTTTAAACAAATCAAGGGTTTTCCCTTTTTTCTTCTTATACCTCACCCTACACAGCTAGGAAATGAGCAGGCCCTTTCAGCATTCTCCGTGGAAGTCTGCTTAGCCAGACCTCCCAACCCATGAGGAGTGTTTACACCTCCATTAGAGCAGGTGACTACGTTACTACAGGTCACGTGAGGTGGGCTGCTGCCCTGCCGCACTCCAGGCTGGTGGTCTGCTGCTCCCTCCAGCCTGCACTCACCGTCTCCTGAGACTTCCCTTCTTCTGTCTACCACCCAGTCTCAGTGCTCAGGTCACAGGGTGGGTAGTCAGGGCATCCAGAAGAAAAGAAACAATACATGTATGGGGAGGGATGAGGCTTGGTTTATATTGCTATGCAGCGTGGCAACTGGAAAATCCTGGCAGGCAGGAGACCCGGGCAGAGCTGATGTTGCAGCTTGGGTCCTGGATTTCAGACTTTTTTTTTTTTTTTTTTTTTTACCAGTCTGGAGTCACACAGAGATTTCAGTCTTTTTCTGAAGGCCTTCCACTGATTAGAATCGGCTCGCCCCAGAACACAGACGATGATGTGGTACACATGAGATCTCTTGATTTAAGTGTGACTCTTGTCTAAAAAATATTTTTAAATCAACAGCCAGAAATGAGTAATTAGTGTTTAGGTACCTGGGATTTGACAAGTTGATGATGCAGGTTCACTGTCATGCATTTGTTTTAGGATTTGTTGTGCAGTTCCTGCCTTCCAGATAGCATTTTCTACTTTTGCACAATGAGCCAGTGCCCTGAAATTTAGTGACTTAAAGCAGCCATCACTGATTGTCTTTTAGAAGTCTGCGGGGTGGCCCAGATCCACCAGGTGGCCTGTTCCACACAGTGTCACTCAGGCCTGTTGTCACCTGGGGAATGAACTTGGCCAGATAAACCATCTTCCCCATCTTCTGCCCATCCCTTCTGTGCCCAAGCTGACTGACTTCTCTGGATCCTTTATTTTCATATCACAACTATTGATTCTCTTTCCGTTTTGCTTCTCCTTCCTCTTCAAAATTCCCAGGCTGCTTTACTTCCCCAAACCTCCCGTCTTGATGACACACACAGTATGTGAAAGTCAACTCCGTGAAATTCATTTGTACACAAATGCCCACAGACTCTGAGGGAGGATTTACCGCCCCTCTGGTGCCAGCACTAGGAATGGTGGGAGGAAAAGAAGCCACAGGTCTGGGTCTGTCTGGAGTGGGAGGTGGGGAGGACCAGCCCGAGTACCAAACGCTGCAGGGCTGCATGATCTGCAGCTGTGGAGGGGCCACAGCTGGTTTATATTGCTATGCAATATATTGGTTTATATTGCTATGCAGCGTGGCAACTGGAAAATCCTGGCAGGCAGGAGACCCGGGCAGAGTGGTTTCCTGGAATCCACAGGGCCATGTTAGACATAGCCAGCGGCCCACTGCACATGGCAGAGTGTGTGGCGCCTGCATGGTGTTGTGTCGGTGCAGAAGGGGCATCACCTGCGGGCTGGGGAGTCAGGAGGTTTTCAGGAAAGTGGACTTGTCTGAAGTCTTTTTCTTGAGATAGGATTCAGCAAGGTAGTGGCTGAGGACCGCCTCCCTGTTTGGAGAAGCTTGGGGACAGATAAGAGGCCACTGCAGGAGACAATAGGCTGAGCAGTTTGTGACACTTTCTAAAGGCAGAGGGAGCTTGGGAAGGATCCTACTGCTGACAGAGTGTGACCTGGGTCTTCTCACAAGAGTAGAAGTGGGACCATTTCACACAGACAGGACAGGACAGGACAGGACAAGGCAGGACAGGGCAGGGCAGGAGGGAATCCCAGCAAGGTTTTCCTTTGGAACCATGGAGTGGTGCCCTGATCCCTGCAGGATTCCTGTCAGGCTGTGGGCTTCCTCAGAGCTATGGGCAAAACTGTACATGCCATGTCTTCTCAAAGCTTAGGGGATGATTTTCAAGCTTCCTCCACCCCGCCTTTCCTTCAGGGGTTCTGGGACCAGAGCCCGTGGCCAGACAGCTTTAATCCACCTGTCTGAAAGTGGAGCTTGGGGATGCTCTGGTTATGAAAGGGCGGTCAGCTCTCAACCTGAGTAATCTGTGGACAGGTGGAGAGGAATTCATGGGCCAATAAACTGATTTGGGCCCTGTGGGGCTTGGGGTGCTGCCAGGATGTCCAGGACAATGCAGCTGTGGTAGTAGAATCTTGTAGAAGGAAAGTTCTAGAAGGAAACTTCTAGAAGGAAAGGCTTTCTAGTTGAAAGCCTGTGGAATGGGCAAGATGGATGAGTGTCCCTAGAAAGGTTAGTGGTTCCCACTATTGGATTTTCACCCCCTGTTTTTATTCTGCACTAAAACTAACAGCCGAGGAAGGAGGCAGTGCGACAGTGAGAGCATTTTCAGTTCTCATCACACTGAGTAGTTAGGACATTTGTGCTTCTCACTTTCCTGTGTTTTTGTTGTTGCTGTTGTTATTTGCTTGTTTGTTTGTTTTTTGATACTGGGAATCAAACTCCTGACCTAGCGCTGGCCAGGCAGGCTGTTGTGCCATTGCCCTAAAGCCCCAAGCCTTCGCTCTTTGTCTTCCTCTCTTCCCCTGGGTCCAACACACACACTTTCCTCCTTGGCTTCCCTGACTTGCTGTATTCCAGAGCCTGCACAGCAACTCTCAGAGTGGCTCTTTTTTTTCTGTGTAACACTCTGCCATCTTCCACACCCAGCTTTTATGTTCAGTTTTATAAACTGTTTTTCATCATAGTAATTGTAATTTTATAAAGATTTTAACTTTACTTAGTATCATAAATAAGCAATACTATAAGTAAAAATGTGAGGTAAAAGTGGACATTCCCTTTTATTCCTCTTCACAGAGGCAACTGATTAACAGTTGGGGGGGGTTCACGGTTTCCTACTTTCTGTAGGTTTAGCTTCAGATTTTTTTTCATTTAGTGATAAATAAACATTCCCTGGCTATTCCAGGTTCTGTATAAACACATTCTCCAAAGGCTCTGACTGTAAAACCAGCAGTGGAGACACTCGATGAAACTGTCCTCTTTGCTGACTGCACTTCCAGACACTCGGGAATCCAACCCCAAGCGAGGCTAGAAAGTGCTGAGCAGACTGCGGTGGTTGTGAATGTGCGTGGTTCCACACCTGTGAGAGTAGAGCAGAATGCTCTGGGGCTCATGGGGCAGGGGAGGCCAATGAAGAAAGCTCTTTTTCCAAAGGTGATGCTGGCCGACATTTTAAAAAAGATTTTTAAAAATCTTGTTTTTGTCCTCTGTAGGAAAAAAAAAATGGTCCATTAATATTTGTTGTTTTCAAGTTTTAGGCCCCAAGGCAAGTCTCTGGTGCTCTAATAGTCTTAAAAACTCTTTTGTTTCTATTTGCACATATTTGGAGTCAATGAAGATTCCACTCATGCTGAGGAGCTGGCACCTGTGCATAACACATTTCAGCCCTTTTATTCTCCTGACTCTCTCTTCCCTCCATCTCTTGGTCCCCTCCCCTTTCACTGACGATCCATCTCTTTGCAGTGCTCTTTGCCACAGCCCAAGTACAGCAATGAGAAAGTATGTGTTTACAGCTCTGAGCACGTCGGGAGGCTCACAGTCAGCCCTCCATAAATGTGCGTAAAAGAGTGAGTGGAGGAAACAATGCAAGTGGCCACTGACTGATGGACAGATGACCCAAGTGTGCTGGAGACTCACAAGGGAATCGCGTGCAGCCTTGGGAAGGGAAGAAATTCTGACGTGTAGCGCAGCACGAACATCCCTGGAGAGCATTGTGCTAAAGTGCAATCAGCCAGCTGCAGAAACACAGAAGGATCCCACTTGTGAGATACTTTAATCAAGCTGATAGGAAGAGAGAGTGGAACTGTGGCTGGCAGTGGGTGGACACAGGAAAGATGGACACTCACTGTGTAATGGCCACAGAGTTTCCTTGTATAAAAGAAAGTGTTCTGGAGATGGGTTACAGAACAAAGTGGACGCATGTAACCTCCCTGAGCTGTGCACTTAACAATGGCCCATTGCAGTTGACACTGTGAGTGGAATGGACAGGGGACAAGAGAAGGCAGTATTTCTGTTTACTTAGGCCAAGATAGTTTTTACTTTGTGTTCTCCAGATTCTAAACTCTTGAAAGTAGAAAAGTGGGCTCTGTGTCCCACTTCTTCCTCTGCAGAAACACTTAAAACTACGAATCCTCATGTTAGAAAAGCCCACACTTTTTAAAAGGTGTAATGTGATTAGAGTTCCACCCGCAAGGCATGGGCAGGCAAGCCCTATGGGAAATAAGAGGAAGCAGAATAATTTACCTGTGGAGTGGGGATAAGAGGAGACAGTTCTGTTTGTTTGCTTGCTTGCTTTGGGGGGAACACTAAAGTGTGGACTGGGAAGCGACCTATATTTCAATCACCAGTTAGTGGTAAAGAAAACATGGTGCTTATACCCACGGGAGCACTGCTCTGCCACAGAGAGTGGCATACCCCAGTCATTCATAGGAAAATGGACTATCATAGGAAAAGACTATCTTGTTAAGTAAGATAAAACAGACATATAAGATTAAACATTGCGTGTTCTTTCCTTACACAAGAAATTCAGGGTGTAAATAAATTGAGGAGCAAAATAAAAGATATATAATAGGAAACAGGGAGATCAGTCTTCTGCAAAAGAAAAGAGGATCAAGAGATGGAGGGAAGAGGGATGGAGAGCGTGAGAGGGAGAAGAAAGAAGAACCAGGTTATGTTATGTACCCACAGTAATGCAACCGTGTGCTGCAAACATGTACTAATAAAGATAACAACTAGGAAAGGTTTTATGGTCTCATGAGTAAAGAATAGTTCTCAAAGAGGTCTCACTGATATTAAAAATTATCTTCCCATTCCTCTGCTCCATTGCATCCACTCTACTTTGATGTCCTGGTCACTATCTGGTTTCGTCATGGTGGCTGGGTCAGTGGCTGTGGCAAAAAGCTGGTCATGAAAAATAATGTTCCTGTAAAAACATCTTAGGCGACTCAGCCCTGTTTTTGGAAGCTCTCTGTGGAGGCCTTGTGGTAAGCTGTCTGGTTAAGGATTTGAAAACATGGATTCCAGACATGGACAGCTCAAGGTGTGAGGTCTGGCTAGGGTTCCAGTAGTGGGTTCTTGGGAAAGACATTGATTTTCTGAGGTTGTGAGTAAAACTGAGATGATAAGGATATGTCTGTGTGGCTAGAATGCAATGAAATGCCTGCAAAATGCCTGGTGTCATGACCTGCTTTAGCGTCGCTATCTTGTTCTGTAAGCGCTGTTACCCTGACCTGTGTTTCAACTCTTGTTTCTTATAAATTATCCCTTTCCAGAACAGCAATTTGGTCCCACAACCCACTGACCCTGGATTGTAAAATATTTGCTGACCACTGATTGTAAAACACTCGGTCCCGGGACCCACTGGCCCTGGTTGTAAAACATTTTTGCGGAGATTAACTCCCCTCTCTCCCCCTCCTTACTGTCTTGATTTTTAAAAACCCCTGGTAACCTAACCTGGTTGCACAGCTCTGCAGATTCCAATGGCAGAGTGTGTCTCTGGTGCCAGCTAAAATAAAATAATTTTAAGATGACTTGCCTTTCTTTCTGAACAGTATCTTGGGCCTTGTTTTGGGTTACAACACTTGGTAAGTACCTGCTTAAGAGCGACCCTGGAAAATGCTAATGGCTGTGGTTCTAGTCATTGCAGTGACGCGTCATTGGTGACTATTGACTAACCAGCCATAAGCAGGTAACCATAAGTAGGGAGGTGCTGGAGGCACAGGTCACTTGCAAGAGCTCCTTCTGGATTGAAGAGTTCAGTAGAACCGTGGAATGACTGGTCACCTGTCCCCCCTGGGCCAGCCTCCCCCTCTGAATTTCCAGTGTCCTTCCCCCGTGAAATGAAAGCTTGGTTAGATCAGTGTCCTCACCGGCAGTTACCCAACAGGGTCAATTAAACTTACTGGAGAATTCCAGGTCCTACTGGCTGCCCCACTCCTGTGCTGATGTGGTCACAGCACTGTGATCTTTCTGCTGCTCTCTAGCCGGTCCCCGATTGGGGCCTGCACTTGGGCCCTCAGGATAGGACAGTATTCAGCAGCACTGCAGTTCAGGTGGGGAATCAGCTCTGGGTACAGGATGAGCCCCCAGCAGCATCTGCTGCATTGACAGCTGTCCCCAGCAGTCCCCTCCTAAGCAGCAGCCCTGAGCTCTCAGGACTGAGACTTCCCATTTTGTAACAGAGCGAGCTAAGAAAACTCTGATATTGACCTTGCAGGAGTGCCTCTCACTCTGCCCTGTGTCTTGAATCAGGAAGGTCTGCTCCCATCTCTGTCCACCGAAGGCCTAGCTCCTTTCAGATTCAAGGTGTTTAAGTCAGTGAAAAGGCTGATGTGCTCATGGAGAGGGAAGTGTTTATTCTGTGGGTGCAGGAAAGCTTCACAAAGCCTTCCTCCACACTTCACACCACTCCCTGCTTTGCTCTTCACTTGAGGCATGCAGGAGGCTGCAATCCTAGACTGCATAAAGAAGCCAGAACCAAGTAACAGATCCTTGCAATGCTTTGGATTCTGCTCTTCCTAAGGAAGAAACTCTCTTAGATTTCTTTTCTCTTACATTTTTAGATTGGAATTTCAGGAACTCTTCTTAAGATAATGTTTCTTAAAAAAGGGTTTAAGTACCTAAGAGGCATAAAAATAATTTGGAGGTGTGTGAGGTTTTGATGAGTTCCACCTGTCATGGTCATGAGTTTGCATTGTGCCTCTGTGATTGGTTCATTGTCTAGTGCTTGGATTGATGGTGTCAGTGCTACATTCACATAGGGGTGGAGCCACGATGTAATGTAATGGCAGGAAGAAGGTGTGTCTTGCTCTTTTGCCTGTTTCCTGCTTGCTGTTTGCAGCCGCCTTGAACTGCGGCTCTGCCATGCCTCCCTGCATTGGAGCCAACTGAGTATGGACTGAAACCTCCAAAAACTGTAAGAAATGAACCTTTCCTTTCCCAGCTTTGGGCTTCAGGTATTTTGTCTCAGCAATGAATAAAAAGTAACTAAGACACACCCCCAGCACCACAAACAACTATAAATTTCTTGGCACATAGTATAGTAAGTGCTCAGTAAATACTACCTAATTTTACTTTTTGTTTTTTTGGTACTGGGGATCAAACTCACCACCAGGCACTTGCCAGGCAGTCACCTATGCCACCAAAACAATTCCCTAGCCCCATACTTTTTGGTTTTTTGAGACAGTATTTCATTATGCAGTTCGGGCTAGCCTTCAATTCACTATGTAGCTCAAGCTGTCCTGGAAGGCAAGGTCATCCTCCTGCCTCAGCCTCCCAAGTGCTGGGATTACAGGCACACATTGTAACACTCAACTCACTATTTTAAATATCCAGCTCTGTTTAATTTTGTTTTCCACATTTTACCCCACAGACGTGAAGACTGTCCCGAAATACGGGATGCATTCAAAAATGCATTTATATCAAAGAATCCCTGCAGTGTTACAAAAGAAGACTATGAACCATTAGTTCGCTTGGTCAAACAAACAGTGCCCTGCAACAAAGTAAGCGGTCAAGGTCTTACGCCTGAAACTGGGCAGAAAAGCCAGTGGGAAGAGGACAGGGGACAGGTTTTGAGTGGGATCAGGGAAGATGGAAATTCAGGTATTATCACATGGAAGTGGGCGTTAGGGAGAGAGCTATTGGGGCCATGAAGGAACGAGGATATCATCAGGGTTTGAGACCTGTGGGGAGGGAAGGCAAGGTCGAGCCAAGGGGAGAATAAAGGAAAATTGGCCCCAAATCGGGAAGCGCTCCTAACACCAACTACCCCCCCCCACGCCCCCACCCCCCGCACACGGAGAAACAAGAGCAGCCTGACTTCATTTACAGGAGAACTTTGCCCTGACACTCAGAACAGAAGGAAATGAATAGTAACCACGTCAACTCGTATTTGCAGCCCTACCCTTACAGCTTACTCTCCTGCTAGGTTCTAAGGCCACATGGCTGCTCTGTGGGACAGATGAGCCACTTGTGAAAACTCCTGTGTCACCAGTGATAAAGTGGAGTTCAGAGGGCCGGCAACTGCCCAATTGTGGCAGGCTGGAAATGTACACAGAACAAGACCTGCAGACACAGGAGCTTGGGTTCAGATGCACTGGTTATGCAGGGAAGGGCACAGCATGGAGAGCAGCTTCTCCAGAGTCGCCCAATTTCCTGGGTGTCCAGGACTGTTCCTGTGAAGCCCTTAAGCCCATTCACAAAGGCATAATGAACTCTCTTCCTGTGCTGCTGTGAGATGGAGTCATCAGGACCCCAAACATGCTGCTCTGTGCAAAGAGCTTGGCAAATAGTAACTCTGCCTGTGCGGTGCTGCGTGATTTACTTGCAGGACCTCACTGAGCCTGCCCAGCCACCTGGGAGTCCCTGGCAGCTCTCAGGTACAAAATGAGGCTCCACAGTGCTTTGGTCAAACAGCTAAAAAGTGGTGGCACTGGGTGACATCCACACAGGGCGTAACCTCGAGGCCCATGCTGTGAGCCACACCCTCTGCCTCATGGATAGACTGATTCAGGAGGCAGGTCATCCTGCAGTGCCACTGCCTGTGCCTTTGAGGAAAGAATGGAAAAAGATCTTCCTAGATTTTTTTTTTTTTTTTTTGGTGGTGTTAGGGACACATGGGGAAGGTGGAAAGGATTATGGAGCTTTTCAAGAATCAAAGAGCAAATCTCCCAGGAAACAGCACATAGGCAACACTTTGCGCAGATAACTGAACTTGAGGAACATTGGAGCTCCCTAACGCCTCTTCCAGAGGTGATTTTATGCTACATTAATTGTATAGTTTTGTTCAGTGGCTTCTAGGGTTTCTTGATTACAACCTAGAACACTAAATGCACTTTACATTGTGACCTAGAAGGTGCACATGTGCGTGCACACACACGCATGAGCACATACACGCTCTGTCTTCCTCACTGCTTCTCACAGAATGCACTTAGCTCAGATCAGTCTTTACCTTTGCTGTGTGTGATGTTCTCTGACAGCGTGGCTGCCTTCTCTGACTGAAGCTGCATTGCTCTTCCCCAGAGCCTGTTCTGGAGCAAGACGAAGGAGCTGGCGTATCAATTTGCCAAGGTGCATGACATGTTCAGGCTGGAGGACACACTGCTGGGCCACATGGCCGACAACCTGAACTGGTGTGGAAACAGCAGCTCTGCTGGTGAGGACCTGGGCGTTCAGGGAAGGAGCCTTGCCAGGGGGCCCCCAAGAGACCCATATGGTGGGAAAGCTGTGGGCCACTGACACCAGCTGTGCCCCGTGGGAAGAGAGCTGCCTAGCAAAACCCTAACCTTCTAGGGAGTCCAGGGTCACCCTGGCCCGAGTCCCTTTTCTGAGCACTTCAGATTCTTAGGATTTTGCTCCATATATGGGTATCATTCGGGACCAAAGAATTCACGAGGCCTCCAGACCAATGTTGTGTCCCACGGAAGCCACAGCGGCCACAGGGGCCCCAGTGTGTGGCTTTAGACTCTGTGTGGCCTTGTCTAACACAGGAAGAACCAGAGTACCTCCCTCAGAAAGGTGTTCTCCCTCCACAAAGCCCCCCAGAGCCCGACTTTGCTTTTCTCTTTCCTTTTTATTTTGATATGAGGAGTATTTTTATTTATGTTATTTTTATTCTTATTTTTAGTGTTTTTGATTAGTGCAAATATTTATCTTATTTTCTTTCTTCTTTTTATTTTTTTTATTTGCTATGGGGTCTTGATATGTAGTTCAGGCTGGCCTTGAACTCACTATGTAGCCTTTAGTTACTTCTCCCTTGTTGCTGAAACAAAATACCTGACACCCACAGTTAAAGAGGGAAAGGTATATTTAGCTCACAGGTTGTGGAGGTTTCAGTCCACAATCAGCTGGCTCCACGGCAGGCTGGCATGACTAAGGAGCAACACTTCCTGGCAGCAGAATAGAGCAAAAGTCAACAAGAATGGAAGGGGGGAGGGACAGACCTCTTCCTCCCACCTCTTACACAAGCTGAGGATGTTTACTAAGCAAGGCCCCTGACCCTGTGCCGAGCCACTTGTTTAAACTTCTGAACTTCTCAAGTTGGCAGAACACATCAACCATGACAGTAGCCAGGCTAGCTTCTGATTCATTGTGATCCTCCTGCCTCAGCCTCTTAGTGCTGGGATTACAGGCTTTGCCACTACACTCCGCTCTATATTTTTCATTATTTTCTATGATAAACAGGAATCCTGCTTATTTTTATAAAATCTTGAATAGTACAGAAATGCATAAAATAAAAGAAGTGTACAATAAACATGTGCTAACAAAATTAAAATTTTAAAAAGTGATCACCTTGAAGTCTACCACTCCTGACCTCTATATCACTGTGCAAACAGTAGCTTTTCAACAATTTGTGATGGAAACCGTTGTACTCTCATTTAAAGGGTGGTAGCAATTTACACTCTGATCAAGTCTATAAATGGGCTTATTTGCATTGGTCTGGCAAAGTTTCCAGGACAGGACATAGATACAGAAGGAAGAGATGGATCCCGGTTCACAGTTCCAGGGGTGAAACTGAGTGACTGTGCCTGGTCAGGGCCCATGTCACCTCACGGCATGGTGGACAGTGGTGAGTCCGTTTACCAGGGGTGACCCTCATGGCCTGAAAGGCTTCTTGAAGTTTCATTGCTTCAGCACAGTTACATTGGGGGATTAAACCTCAGCGCAGGGTTTGCGGTGGGGGAGGCAAGCCACATTCAAATCCTACTGCTTCTTGATAATACTGAGATGAGGCGAGCTGTTCTCAGGTTCTGCCCTATTGTCATCTGTTCTCCTGTTCTTCCTCCCTTTGTCCCTCCTTCTCTCTGTCTCTGTCTCTCTCTCACCCTTCCTCTTTCTTCCTCCAGGGAATACCCTCCTTGGCTGTTTATTATTTCATTCTATGCCACATAGTTCTGGGACATAATTTTAAGAATTTTGGATTAGTTTTCCTCCTTCCCTATCTCTCTCTCTCTCTTTCTTTCTTTCTTTCTTTCTTTCTTTTTTTTTTTTTTTTTTTTTTAGACAGGTTTGCACTATGCAGTTCCAATTGGCCTTGAACTCACTTGGTAGCTGGCCTGGAATGCACAGTGATCTCCTGCCTTAGCCTCCAGAGTGTTGGGAAGACATGTGGTACAGTCTTTTCTTCTTTTCAAAGTTGATTTTAAGCTGAAAGTAAGTGTATTTAAGGTGTGTAGGGTGATGTTTTGATGCACATGTACATAGTGAAGTGCTTACTGCACTTAAGCTAATAGCAGTGACCTCTTCTTGTAGTCACCATTTTTATGGTCATATTTTTCCTTTTCTTACCCTTTATAGCCAATCATTCACCAGCCTAATCTGTTTGCCCAATAATTAATCTTTTCTTTCCCATTACTGCTGCCTGAGTCCCCTCCATTCTTGCAAGGAATATCATAGTGTTCTTGCTGTTCACCTTTACCTCTTTAGTCACCCTCCCTCTGATGACCATAGTGATCTTCTTAAAATGAAGCTATGATTGTAAGCACTTCCCCCTAAAACCTAGAAAGTCTCCTTTGCCTGTAAGGTAATATCTAAATTCCTAGGGTTGGTCACTGAATTCCTGGGGTACAGAGAGGCAGGGCCAGAAAGAACTGTGCATGGCATGGTGGTCGTAACCAGAGAGAGAGAGACCTAAACAGAGACAAAGAGAGAGAGAGATAGTGAGACAGAGAAAGGGGGGGGGGAATAGAACTTCCTGGTTCTTTTCCCAAGTCACCCACTTCCTCGCACAAGATCTTACCCAGAATGTTCTTGAGCTAAACTCATCAGTGGGTAATCCAACAATGAGTGCCTCTCCTCCATAATCCAGTCACCTCCCTGGGCCCTCTCTATGAGCCCATGAGGCTTTAGGGGACCATCTAGATCTAAACGGTAAAAATCCCCTTGAAGGAAGAAACACAGAATCCGTTTTGATGCTCTATATTTACCCTCCATTGGGGGATGAGCCTCTCTTGCTGGACACCAGTGTAGTAAGCTGCAAAGGTCACCTGAGCCCAAGGAGGTGAGGACTCAGAGAGTCAGGGAGGAAACTCTCCAGAGAGAGCTGTGCAGGAGAGAAGTGTTTTTGCCAGTTTTACCTCCGAGTCTTCCTGGACTCAGGGATAAGGGTAGGGGTTTCTCTCTGTTGGGTGAGCTCTTGCTGCCATTTCCAAGAATGATGACTCAAACCTACTGCTGTATTGCAACCTGGGATCTGGAGAGAAAGGTAAGAATTTGGAAGAGATTCGGGGCACAGTAGTTAAATTGCACTGAGACTTGTCCCTTCCCGGTCTCTATCTAGGCAATGATACTGTTGGAAAATGATGCCGTTGTGATAGACAATCCAGGGAAGAATGGGGCTTCTGATAGCTCTTTGGTACTTTCAGTATTTTCTATCAACTGTATCTTTTAGAATTGAACTATGAAAATTGCCCACGTTGGAGTGATTGCAAAAATACAGCTGTCTCAGCGTTCTGGAAGGCGATTTCCCAAAAGGTAAGCAACAAACAATACAGTTCTAGACTGGTGAGACATAGACCTTGAAGATGGCACCCAGTAAATGGATCACAGATCACTTTAGGCATGAGAAGACTGCAAGATTCTTTCCTGAGAAAAAGTTTGCAAGCACATGCAGGCAGATTTTCACATTCGGTACTATGGTGCTTGTGAAGAGTCCATAGGCTTCAGTTGCAAAATCAAGGCTCTTACCTGTTACTTTGGCTGTGGCTGCCTGGAAGTTAGGGCAGCTTCAATCCTTTGATATAGAATGATTAGATTCATTGAATAGCATTATTAGTCTACATTTATAGGTTATTTACTGTGTGCCCAGTTCTTTACATAAATGGAAAGCTTTCATCCCCACAAGAATGCTATGAAGTAAGTCCTATGGGTATCACGTCTTTCTCAGATGGCATTGCTGTCTGTAACATAAGCAGTCTAAAATGTGCCCACCTAGATCTGGGAGTTTATTCCCACTTATCTAACTCAGAACCACAATTTGAGAGAAAAAAATGCCACCTCTTTCACACATTATCTGTCTTCACTTGAAACTACCAGTATATATTTATTTCCCTTGTAAGTTGCTTCTTTGGAAATGATCAAAGGAAAACTTCTTTGTAAGTAGATTGGGGGGAAAAGCATGAAAAAGATTTAAGAAAGAAATGAAAAGAAGTAAAAGAAGAAAAAGTAAAAAACACGAAGTACAAGGTTTTAAATAGATAACTGAGGGGGCAGGTAGGGCAAGTACAACATTATGTATGTAAGTGATTATCATTCAGCCCATTTGTGCTGCTGTAATAAAATATCTGGGCACGGGTGAGACACAGATTCCTCATAATCCGCAGACAGGGAAGTCCAAGGTTAGAACCCAGCAGGCTGGATGAGTAGTGAAGGCTGCCCTCTGGTTCCAAGATAGTGCCTGCTGCTCTGCCCCCACATGGCAGAAGGCAGGAGGGTAAAAATGCCCAGCTGGTTCTCTTGAGCCTTTCTATAAGGACACCAGTCCTATTCGTTTGAGCAGAACACTCATGGCCTAATCCCTTCCTAAGACCCTATCCGATCATGCTATCACAGTGGGTCAAGCTGGAAGCTACAAGCTTCCAGCTTGCAGACGGGGGCAGGTAGGAAGATGAATGCACGGCATGGCTAAACTGTGCATCACATTTGATGCATTTCCTGTGTGACAAGCCATGAGATGTCGTCTCTAAGTCACTCCCATGTATTCCTCCCAAATGGCAGTGTAAGCAGGAGCAAATCCACACAGTAATGGTGAAGAAACCAGGATTCTCAGGTTAAATGACTCAATCAAGTTCAGGGGCTAATACGGAGCAAAGTCTGCCTGTTCCAAAGCAGTGCTCTTTGACTTTGTTTACAGAGTTTGTTTATTTGCTTTATCTTTTAAATGGAAGGTTTGATTTTCTTTAACTCCCTTTTGGTACCAAACTAAAGTACCTCAAGGGGATTCAGGAAAAGGTGAGAAGAGCAGATAGCCTGGGAGTTGAAACTGTGGTCGATTCAGCTGAGTATGGTGGTGTAAGCCTGTAATCTCAGCATTTTGGGAGGCTGAGACAGGAGGATTACAGGTGTGAGCCCAGCCTGGGCAATTTAAGACTTAGAAAGATCCTGTCTGAAAATAAGAAGGAAAAAAATTTTAAAAACTGGGGATGTAGGTTGATGCAAACTCTCTGACTTCAATTGCCTGTATGACAAATAATAACAACCTCTTCCTCAGAAAAAATAACTTGCTCACATTACATTGCCCTCCACTCACTGCGGCCTCAGCCTATGCTTGCTGCAAGTGTGTTCCTCCTTTGGGATGTGGCCTTTGTGCCTTCCAAGGTTTTTGCCTGCTCTTTCCTGGTCTCTACCACAGGTTCTCTGACACCTTGCTTACTCTTGACCTACTCTCTTTCCTCCATTTTTTCCTTCCTTTGATTTCTCTTGGTCAGTCAATCATGCCATATATGAAGGACATGCCACTCAAGGCTGTGAAGGTGAGCAGGAAAACCGGGATCTCAGTTCTCATGAAACTGTTACTACTGATAGCCAAAGTGCGTTAGCTTATCATTACAATGATGTACAGTTAATAATGTGGAGACATGGGAGGTTGTTAGGATTCAGAGAAGGTAGCCTAAGTGTGCTCCAGGAGTACCACAAAACTCCATGCAGAGGGTTCAGGTCTCCCACCTGGCAACATGGCACACAGATGCAAAAGACAAAGGGAGAATGCTCTTCAGCTGAATGGATCTGGGCTGACCAATATTCTCTGTAAAACAAAAGGCTACAACTCCAAAAGCTCATGGCTTTTATTGGTATCAGTCAGGGAGGTGAGTGGAGGTCGAGGCAGATGGGTAGGGAAGAGAAACTTTGAAAGCATTGGCTATAATGAGAAGCACAATTTTGTACTAGGCACAAAGGCCTCCAATTCTCAATGTAACAGAAAGGAAGGTATAATTCTTTCGTGAGTTCCAGGACCTCAGCTGAGAAGTCATCTCATGTCTTAACCTTAGAATCTCAGAAGCTCTTGCTGGAGCCCCCATTCCAGTTTTCAGCAGGGTGCACAATTCTCACGCATGGGCTGTAATGAGACACGTTGGTTTCTCAGCCAGAGAGACTTGATCACATTCTTTTAGCCAATTAAGGGAACATCTGGTATAATGCATTCATCTCTGCATATCTCAGTGGGTAGGGCTGAAGGAGGGATCAGGGAAAGATGGCGGCAAGGGGCTTTGTTTCCCAGGAGAGTGCAGCTGGGCAGTCTCCCACACAGCAGTCCTGGTGTGTCTCCGGGAGGAAACTCTAGATGGTTTTTCCTTGTTCATTTTGTTTCTTCCAGTGCTTAGCAAAGATTTCAGCTAAATGTTGCATGAGGAAATAAAACTCCTTGCTCGACTGTATTCACTCACTCATTCACTCACCCATTCATTCATTCATTCATTTGTTCATCCATTTTCCTTTTCTCTTAGCGCCTGTTCAGGCTTCATGGTCACCTACTCTTGCCCGTCTCCATTTCCATAATGTTCCCATTTCCTTGATCATGAATTGTCCATTTTGTTTATGTTAAATTAAATTCAGTGTTTGCTGTCCATGGTGCTAGGAAAGTACCTTCATTTTCCTCCTTTAAAGATACCACTTTTCCTCTCTTGGACTTCCTTCTCTGAATGTAGCAACCCTGTGAACAATGCCACTGAACTTCATTGTTGGGACACTTATATATTGGAGCAACTGCTTCAAGGACTCTCATGTTTTGAAGCACAATTGCTCCAGTGCTTTGGAACACAGCTCTTTAGACATTGGCATTGCTGTGCCAATTCTCTAGAGGATGCTCTTTCTTAGATGAGCTAATTGTAAGCATCATTGGAGAGGCATCTTCATGGAAAGGGTTTCTAGGATAACTTACTGAGGAATGGTGAGCATTTCTTTCTTTTAAGTTTGCAGAGTCTGCCTGTGGTGAGGTCCATGTGGTGCTCAACGGGTCCTTAGATGAACCATTCAGTAAAAAAAGGTACTTATTTCTTTCAGTCCCTATTTGCAAGTGCTTTGGTATTTCCCTGTTAAGTATTTCATCCCTAGAGAAAATATATACTTTTCATATTTCACATCAATAATATAGATATGGGATATAAAGGCAAAAAAAAGTTTTATAAAGTTTGTCTTTCTGGGTCAGTGCTTTTATGTTTTCTCCTTTATCTTTATCTTTATCTAAAATCCTCTAATTCTCCTAATGGCTGTGACACTGTTTGCAGGTATTACTCTTGGCTTCTGTATTAGTTAGGGCTCTCAGAGGAACAGAATCATTATACAGTACAAGTACAGTTATACCAAGGATTGATTAGGTAGGCTTACAGGCTCAAGAGGTGAAGAGTCCCAGTGGTCATCAGTGGTGGAAGACTCCAGAATGGCCGTCCATGTGCTGCAGAGACAGAGGAGCCAGTGAAGCCCTGGAAGCTCACCTCAGGGTTACTGGTGTGAGTCTGTGTTTGAAAGTTTCAAGGTCTATATTGGAAGGCTGAAGAATGTGGGCTGAAAGCTTTAAAGAAGTGGAAAACTATGTCCACAGGTGACAGCAAAGACTGAAGCTCTTCCAGAGGAAAAGGGGGAGACTTCTTTCCTTTGTTTTATTCCACCCAGTCTACAAGCCTCCTGGCTGATGCCACCCTCATCAGGAGCCAGCTTCCCCTCCTTGGTCTGCATGTCATCCAGCCACAGACACCTCCAAGCCTTTCCTAATCTGCTGTGTGGGTCCTACTCAGGTCAAGCAGACACATCACAATGAACGGTCACAACTGCAGGCTTGGTGTAATTTTCTCAGCTTTCTCTTTTGTTACACTGACACATCCATCCTCCACCTGAGTTTATGCTGTTCTCATGACTGCTCCCGATTCTTCCCATCCATGAATAACTGTCCTGCCTCTTCTATCTTCAAGAAAGTTTGTATCCCAGTTCAGCAGTAAAATTAATACTGGGAACATCCCAAACTGTGCTAGGCTCTTCACCTTCTTCATCTTTGTACAGGTATTTCAGCGAGGCGGAATCCCAGGTTCTTAGGAGGTTTAGTCAGAAGGATTTCAAACTGGAGCCCAGCAGGGGCTGCTTAGTGAGGACCTGTCTCAAAAAAGGAAAAAAGAAAGAAGAGGAGAGGGCTGGGAGTGGTTAAGTGTGAAGACCCTCGATTCAATGCCCAGTACTGAAAAAAAAAAGATTCCAGACATCTTTACATATGATCTGTATTGTGTTAGACAGTGCTAACTCCAAACCCCAGCATATGAACCAGAAGAGGCAATGGTGATAGGGTTCCATGAGATGATGTTAGTGAAAAGTGCTGAGCTCTGCCTGACACAGACACCATTCAGAGAAGGTCAGTGATTCATCTCTCATTTAATCCTCGTCATGGAACCAGCCGCACTCTTGCCTTCATTCTCTGAGCTCCTCCTCTATCTACAGTTTTTATCACATTGATTGTCTGTTGTCCTTGTTCTCTAACTTTTTCCTGATAGGGTTGATGGACTGAGAGATGGAGCATATATGGACTTGTCCTGGGCCCTGTAGGTACCCTGTGTGCTTTGTGAATTTAATATTTAATCCACAAAGAAATATTTGCTCTTGGGCCATCTTCTGACCTTCATCTTCAGTGGTCTTTTGGGTGAAAGCATTAGCATTCAAGGATTTTATACTCAGATATTAGGATCTACATTCTGAGACAGGAAGGACACAGCTGTGAAAAACAAGTGGGAGTTTAGAAATGAGGTCAGAGAAAATCGTGGGCTTCTTGGAGTCTGGTGAGTGTGGGAATCACCTGGGGGCAGTTCTGGTCCCAATTAACTCACCAGGTAGTGAAGGGTTGAGACTTCTTCATTCTAACTACCTTGCTGGAGATCTTCATCTACTGATCTGTGAATCCCTTTGAGTATTAGTCACCTTTTTGTTGCTGTGACCAAATCCCTGAGAAAGTCAACTTAAATGAAACAAAGGTTTGTATTAGCTCATAGTTCCAAAGGATTCCTTCTATGGTGGGCTGGCTCCAAGGCAAAGGCATTGTGATGGGAGGACAATGCAGAGGAAAGCAGCTCAGCCCACAGCAGTCCGGAAGAAGAGTGAAATAGCAAGAAAGCTGGAGAAGAATGAGCCACGAGTCCGATACAGTCCCAAGCTCGCAGTCCCATGACTCGCCTGCACACATCCAGAAGTGTGTCTTACAGATCTCCGAGGCATCACTCATGCCAGTCAATTTGACAATCAAGATGAACCATCACAAGTAGCAAGTATTTAAAAACTCAGTGTGCAGATTAAAAATCTTATCTTGAAAGTCTTTGTTAAGGCTTGCTGTTTGCTGCTGCTGTGCCAGTCTGCCTTGGAACCAACTGAGTATGGACTGAAATCTCCAAAAACTAAACACAGTTTTGTGGCAGGCTGCAGCCCCTCCAGGGGAAGAGCCAGCATCTCCTGAGATCCACTCCATATTGGAACTTAGGACACTGGGAAACCAAGCAAGCAGTTCACCTCCCTGGTAAGCAGCTGTGGTGTGGCAGGCTGCAGCAGCCCCAGGGGGAGAACCACCTGCATCTCCTGAGATCCACGCCATGTTGGAACTTAGGATGCTGGGAAACCAAGCAATCAGCCTGTCTCCCTGTTAAGCAGTAGTGAGCCTACTGGTGCACGGGCTTAGAGTCAAACATCCCACTTCCCCCTTTAGCAAATGGGAACCAGAGATCTGAGCACTTCTTGGGAAGCTGACCATATGCAATATAACAAATAAGGGGATTTGCTTTTACCATCTTTTTGAAAGCAAATATTTTTATTACAGTTCTGCTTTAGTCTGATTAATGGTACTGTTCTATTCAATATTCTGTTTTGATAAGTTCTATAGTGTTCTATACTTCATTTTATTTTGCTATATGTGATTGAGAGAACAACTAATGTGATGATAACAAGATATACTCTGATACCTATTGCTGTTATCCTGGTAACCTGTTGTGAAATTCTGTACCAATTTCACTACACTGTCTCAACTGGCAAAAAAAAAAAAAAAAAAAGAAAAGAAAAAAAAAAGAAAATCTTTGTTAATTCAAGATTGTGTTGAGAGGGAAAAGGTGACACTCTAAGGTAAGTAGGCCAATTCCAAAGTGTAAGTCTGACCAAAGAGTCTAGCCTCACCTGCTGGTCTTTGACAAGAGGTATAGTTGCCCCTAAACTAAAATTTGGGGTTGAGAATACTCTTTGTCTGTTCTATTTTAGCGTTTTTGGAAGTGTGGAAGTTTTTCATTTTGATCCAAAGAAAGTCAATAAATTACAGGCCTGGGTGATTCACGACATCGGACAAACCTACAGGTAAATCTTATTCCTGCAGACCCAGGAAACATTTTTAGGAGTTAGCCCACAAAACAATGCTCTCTCAGAAGAAGATGGTGGGCGCATATTCACTAAACAGACTCCGGCTCAGGAGACGAATGGTACTTTACATTGAGCTCACCCCAAGGAACCTCTTAGTTTTATCTCCACAATGGGCATCTAACCGGCTCCCACCTTCCTCTCCCTGCTGACCCAAAAGCTCTTCAGTATGGACTTGTGCTCCCCCTTTCCACCCCAGGGCTTTGCCTAGGGCCTCCTCTGATGAGGAAACTAAGCAGCCACAGGAGTCATTTGCCACATATTGCTATTTTGACATCTTGTTTCTTCCCCAGGGAGTTATGCGAAAGTTCCTCCCTCAGAGAACTGAAGTCAATTGTGGAGGCACAGAAAATCAAATTTCACTGCAAGGATACTGCAGGTAACTGCTTTCTTTGTGAAGAAACAGCTACATTGCCCTCTGTACGCATCTGACCTTTCCTAATCTCCTCTCAGCTGGGCTGCCTCTTGGGCCTTGATGGTGATCTCTGTCCCTTTGCCAAGCCTGGCTCAGAAGTTTTCCTAGCCAGGGGACTTCATCCGGCCACCTTCTCCCCATCACACTCTCCCCCACTGCCAACCCCCAGCATAGACCCTCTCCTGAGTCTGACTTGGCCTTTAAGGGCCTGTCTGCTGGTTTCCAGAGAGAACGGCCATGCCCAGGGCCAGTGTGTTTTCTGGATTTCAGGGGAGCAGAGGTGTGTTTGGCCAAGACTGATCTCCCACCTTGGGAAATCCTTGCAACTTGGCATAAGCAGGCCTCTTTAGCACGATCTGGGTGTAGACGCCTAATACTTGGTAAGTTGTTCTGTGGCAGTCTATTAACAATTGCCTTTTTTAAATAACAAAGAGATAAAAATTCTTACAAAAATATTTAAAATTACAGACAGTTACAGTATATGTTTTTAAAAGTCACCTGTAACTCTGTTTTCAAAACCAGGACCTCTTCTTTTTTCATCTTTCTTTTTCTTCTCTCTTGGTTTTGTTCTCCCTGTCTGTCTATCTGTCTGTCTGTCTCTCTTTTGCTTTCTTTGTTCCATGTTACATGTTGAACCCAGCCCGACATTCATTTCTAAGTACTTTTGGCCAAGAATATAGGTGGGGACACATGGCTAGAAGCATCTTTGGAGCTTCCTCTATGTATAGTGAAAGAACAAATGTAATATATGCAGAAAAATTCTTCAAAGAATGTGGAAGCAGAACTGCTAGAGTATCTTTTCTGTCTTCTCAAGCCATCAACTGTATCACTAAGGCAGAAGGAGAGATGCAAGGATCTCTCACTAATGACTCATGTTTTCCAAATGCTCCAACACTCAGCTGGCTGCTGCCTGGAAACTGCCAGAAAATCACACTCACAAGTTACAGCCGTTAGATGGGAAGGCAGGATGAGCCAGGGAGGAACTGTAGAGGGGGCTGTCAGTGTGAGTTACCCCAAGTCGTTTTTCATGGAGGATACAGAGCACTCAGAGCCCAGAAGACTGGAGAGTGAAGGGTCTCGCTCACTGAGTCTTCTTTTTCCTGCATTAAACATTAATGGCCAGAAACTTATACATTAAACCCCACTGACCACCTTCACTGATGCTCAGGTGAGCTCATTCGCTGTCTGGGAAGAACATAGAGGAACAGAGGCCTGGACAGACAGTGGCTCCTTCCCAAGCCGACTCTTGGCATTCGGAGCACCAGAACTTGTGGCCTTAGTTGTGGGGATCTGTTAACATCACTGCTTGTTTTCTCCGACCAAGAGGACTGTTGTATTTCGCGTGACTCTTTTGGCCTCCGTGGTGGCATGAAGCGATGATCTGTAGGGGCACTTGTGAGTTGTGCTGCTTTCGGGGACAGGTATTTGTCTCTAGGGAGCCTAAAGTGAATGTTACAGATGTGTGCATAGATTGTAGTCTGGTAATTTCAATCTCTCTATCCCAAATCTCCACCCTACTTGAAACCTTTCATCTGGCTGCCTAGGTATGAGAATTCAATGAACAAACGGAAGTGTAATTACATGTACATAGATTAGATTTCCTGGTGGTACTGATGCTACCCTTAAAGAATCCCACTACCCAGAGAAACACTACTCATATTTGACAGTTCCTTTAGGAACTTTCCTCTCTTTACTTACACACTCTCCTGATAAAATACACACAAAGTTTATTAATATAAGTGTTAAACAGGGAATGAATAGAGGGAACAGTTTGGGGGTTCCCCATAAAAACAGCAAATATCAGCATGTTAATGTCCACTAGTGGGATACAAAAAAAAAAAAAAAAAGAAGAAGAAGAAAGAAAGAAAGACACCCAAAACAGCACCAAATATCCCTCTTCAGGAGTGCACTAATTCTTCTGTTACTTTACAATATACCTTGGGTCCATCCCTCAAAATATACCCAGCATATGAGAGGTGCATGTCTTCTTAGAATGTTGGATGTGAATATTTTCAGATTCATGGAGAGGGAGCACCCAATATGTCAGAAACTATAATCACACACAATTGTATTCTCTTCATTTAATGTAAGGTAAAAATAGCTACAAAAGTCCTAAGTGGCCCAAGAGTCTCCTTCTCCTTGGGAGGGAGAGTTCCTTAAGGAAGAGATGCTCTCTCTGCCTGGAATGAAGTCATGTGGGGAGTCCCAGGTGACCATACTGGTGGGATGGTGAGACCGTGCACTTACAGCCATGGAGCCCAACTCATTGAGACAACTGGCTCCAGGTGATCCCGAGATGGCCCATCCCAAGGGCAGCTGCTGACACTTGTTCCTCACAGAAGTTGCTGCTTCTAAGGTTCTATTCTTCCTCACATGTGGCCAAATGAGCTTTAACTGCAATGTAACGAACACCTCCCCTGCTACCCATCCACCCTAGCTGATTAGCAGCAGCCACTCTGCTACTTGGACGCTGTGGCTCTTTGTATTGTGTCATGGAAAGGATACTCTTTTACCTGGTGGTACTTATCTCGAGTTTGTTCTATGCAAAAGAAGTTGGGTAGCCCAGCATGGTGGTGCACGCCTATAAACCCACGCCCTGCGAAGATGAGGTAAGATTGCAAGTTATGTGTCTGTCACCATGCCTGGGTGACTTAGTGACACTCTGTTTCAAAGTAGAAGAGGAGAGGAAAGGAGAATGGAGGAAGGGAGAATGAAGGGAATGGAATGGAAAGGGAAGAGAAAAAAAGAGGACAGAAGAGAAGAGAAGAGAAGAGAAGAGAAGAGAAGAAGAGAAGAGAAAAGAGAAAAGAGAAGAGAAGAGAAGAGAAGAGAAAAATAGGGGAAGCAGCTTCATGCAAAGTCCTTGGATTGAACCCCTAGTAATGCAAAAGCAAAACCTAATCAAACAAAACCAAGCTAAACTAAGCCAAATCAAACCAAATTTCAACTTCCTCCAAAAAACAAAACAAAACAAAAACCATGCTCCTCTGACAATGGCTTCCAAAAGCTTCTTGCAGGACCCATCACCCTATGCTGCTTCTTGTCCTTTGCCTCAGCAATTCTTCCAGAAGTTTCTGGAGAAGAGAAAGCAAATCATCAATAGAGACTGTGGGTATCCTAGGTTCCAGGGGTGGCTTCTTCCGGCTCTTGGTCATCAGCTGAGGTTGCTGACATCGGTCTGTGACACACAGGAGTCAGAATCCCTTCCTGATGGCCACCTGTTACCATCTGACACTGCTTCTTGGTGCTTATTTCTGTGGCTTTGCAAATGAAACAAAACTAAATAGGGCCACACTTCTTGTTTTCAATACTTGTAATTTAAAAAAAATTTATTTTACTGTAATAACATAACAAAATAATTAGAGAACAACAGTGGTTAATATACCATGTATGATGTTCTTAAAAGAATAACCAAAATATTACTCAGAGCACAGTCACACAAAACAGAGACTCTCTTACAAACAAGAAACAAACAAAAGGACAAAACTTTCTTTTCAATGGATGAAAGAAACCAGTGGTACAAATGTAAAAATATCAGTTATTTTTAAAACAACAAACTAGATAATTTAGGGAGTTATCTGTTCTTATCCTTACTTTCTAATTTATCTATCTTCTATTTTTCCTATGGGTGAGAACCGAATCAAACTTCCCATGAAGTCAACATTTAACTTAACCCCTGAATTTGACTGAGTTGTCATCTAACAGTTTGTGACCAGAATCATGGAAAGAATCAAGTTTGTGTATTGAGGTTCTAATATAGACAGAATCTACCAAAAAATGTATACTTCAGGGAAAAGAAAAACTTGTACAAATATTTTAATATTAAATTTATTGAGACATCGTAAGACTAATACAAGTGACCCTTGGCCTCTACAGTTACAAGAGGTGCTCAGAGTGGAGGCCATTAGCTTCCAGACATTGAGTAATTTTGTGAGTCGCTGAAGAGTTGCACAGTTTTAGGGAGACTGTGCATGTGGACAGATAGTTTCTCATGTAAGAGAATCAACACAGTACTTTAGCTTGTGTCTGACTTCACTTAACTTTCTGTTATCAAGTTGTATCCATTTGCCTACAAATATCTCAAATTTATCTTTCTTTATGGCAGAGTGGTACTGTGCTGTGTGTCAATACCATGAATTTTTTACCCTTTCATCTGCTGGTGGGCACACACCCTGTTTCCAAGAACTCACTGCCATCAATTGTGCTGCCATAGAATGAGTATTTATGCAGCACTGTGACTTTAATTTTGGGGGTGGACATCTAGAAAGGGGGACACCTGGATCAAATGGAATTAATATTTTTAATTGTCTGAGGAATCTTCACACTGATTTCCTAGTGGTGATGATAGTTTTGACTCCTACCAACAGTGAACAAGACTTCGTCATGTCCTTGCCAGCATTGGTTATAACTTGATGCTTTTGTGATAGCCATTTTTTTCTGGGATAAAATGGCATCTCATTGCAGTTTTACATTTCTCTAATGGCCATGATGTCAAACTTTTTTTTCATGTGTTTATTGGTCATTTGTACTTCTTTGGAGAGATATCTATTCATTTCAATTGCTCAATTTTTATTGCATCTTATTTTGGGGGGGGTCTAGTTTTTTTAAGTTCTTTATGTGTTCTTGATAATTAAAATCCTAAAATCTAAATAAATAAAAGACCTAAGTGTTGAGGCAGAAACAATCTGCTGAGAGATAAAATAGATAAAAGACTTGAAAACATGGGCATAGGCAAAGTCTTCCTGAACAGAATCCCAGTGGCACAAGAAATAATCCCAAGAATTAACCGATGGTGTCACATCAAATTAACAAGCGTCTGCACCGCCACCAACAAATTGAGGAGCCAGCCTAGTAATGGGAGAAGTGTCAGCTATGTGTCAGTCAATCTCTGGCACAGTGAGCAGAGGCCTGCGTGTGAGTGCTGTGGTCTTCGTGTCTATTTGTTGCTAAGGAAAGGGCTTCTCTCACTGGCTCATGGGTGAGTAGAAGCATAAACCTGCCATTTCACTTCTTGATCTCTTCTTTTTCCTCCCCTCTCCTAGGCCTGCCAGATTCATTAAATGCATGAAAATCCTAATCATTCGTCTGTGCATTTAAGATCTGAGCTACAGCTGTGTTAGATCTTGGACAGCTTGTGGTACACAAGACTCAGCAACACACCAGTGAGAGCTGCCAGCCTGGGGGAGCCCTCAGTCCAAAAGGACAACACCAGAGACAGAAGCTCTGCTCTCACAGTACTGAGATAGCTTATGTTGTCAGCATAGCTTTTTCTTGTGTTCTGCTAGTATTCAACAAAAAAATTGTGCAAAAATTAGAATGAAAATTTTATATTGGTATTTTTTAACTTTCATGTTTTGCTTTTATGTGCTTTATATGTTGGTACCTTCTTTTCAGCCGTGCTAGGGACTAAACCAGGGTCTCATGCGAGCCACTGCTGTACTACACAGCTACACCCCAGTCCAGCTGGGAGCATCCTTTCTGTAGAAAAATGACCACACCATATTTCTCTGTAACACAAGAAGATGAGGCAAATAAAATGCTCAAACTTTTCAGAAGACAGTAGAATCTACACAACCATCTTTATCTCACGGTCTATTTTTGTGCCCTTCCAAGGCCTAAAGTCACACAATTAGTATCAAGGTAGAAGCTGGATTGGAACTCAGCTCTGTCCAGCTCCAAAATCTGGGGAGTCTCCCCTTCAAGGCACAGAACACTAAGCTAACAGCATGTTATGTCCTCCAGCAAATGTGTGCTAGGTGAAATTAAGCACAATACATTCTAGAATGTGATTTTTCCAGATGACACCAAAACAAATTCATTTTTTCCTCCTCATGTTCAGTGTCTTACAGAGTCAGCTGTCAAAATGTATTTGATACTCATACTGGCTGTTTACATTTTATTCCTCTTTTTTCTTACATTAGTCTTTCTTGAGATCTATTCATTTTATCAGTTTTTAAAAGAATCAACATTTAGCTTTGTTGATTTTTTTTCTATGTACATGCCTTTTGCTCTTTATTTTTAGAAATACAAAAATTTCTTCTAATTCCTCTGAGTGTCTTTACTCAGTTTCTTGAGATAAAAGCTCAGGTATTGAATTTTGAGCCTGTTTTCTGCCCTTTTACACACTTTTTTGGACTATAAATTTTCCTCTGAGCCCTGCGTTAGCTGCAGTTCTTAGATTTCATTGTCTTTTTGGACTATCATTCTGACAGAAGTGTTTTCTGATTTCATTGTTATGAAGACATATTTTTCTGGAGATTTATTATATTTTTTGAAAACAGATGTGTTGAATGAGAATTAATAAATGAAGTAAAATCTTCCTCTAAGAATTTTATTGGTTTGTGGAAAATGGCATAAGTGTGGGGCTCAAATATTTCTGGATTTATATTTTGGAACACCAGTGTGATTCTGAACAAAATACCTAACTTCTCTGAACTTCAGTTTCCTTTTCACTCAAAGATTATGAACTCATCCCCATTAAAATGTGATGAGAAGTTAGGGGGATGACAGAATCAGCAGCCTGCCAAAGAGACGTGTCTGAATGCCCACCCTCGGCCAACCTGGACTCTGGTCTGCCCTCCCTCTGGGCAGTTTTCTTGAGGAACCCTCGAGCTCCTGCCACCATGGTGAAGCCAGGGACTCACAATATGTGAATGTATGGATATGTCACAGTGAAGAACATTAATCTGCTTAATCAAGATGCATGAATAATTCTATGCAGCCTGGGGATGTAGCCTGGAGAATACTCGCCTTGCATACGTGAGGCCCTGGGTTCAACCCCAGCACTGCCCACAGCAACAAAATCCCACAATAATTATGAAAATAATAATAAAAGTTGGTGCCTCTTGTTCTCTTTAAAAGATGAGATGGGTAGAGTAAAAATCAGTTTGTGAGACATCCCTCAAGAAGTCTCTTTTGGTGCATACAGCTTGGGACCTAAAATGAAGTAAACCCGACATACAAATATTATATTTCTGTTATATGAGAAATGCAAACTATACGTTGAAGAGCAAAATAAAAGACAGATAATAGGAAATAGGACATGGATTTGCAAATGAGAAAAGAATCAAGAGACTAAGGGAAGGAGACAAAGATAGGTTTAAAGCCAGATGTGTTGGTACACTCCTGTAATACCAGCCCTTGGGAGGCTTAAGCAGGAGGGTCATTGCAAGTTGGAGACCAGCCTGGTCCACAAAGTGAGTCCAAGGCTAGCTTGAAGTGCATAGTGAGACCCTGTCTCAAAAAGACAAAAAAGAAAAGAAAAGAAACAAACAAAAAATAGATTTAAAATGTGTTATGTGCATGTACAAATTTCCACAACAAAGGCAATCAGTGTGTCTTGCAAACTGGAAAACAAAATCCAGCCTCCAGCACCACATAACCACAAACAGACTCAGTTGAGTGGACAAATTCAGAAACAGTGGAAACTCTACAGGATGTTGGTCCTAAGGGTTTTTTTTTTTTTTTTTTTCCTTCTCCTCCTCCTCTTCTTCTTCATTTTGGTGCCAGGAATCAAACTCAGGACCTTGCACTTGCCAGGCAGTTGCTCTGCCTCTGAGCTGTATCACTGGCCTCTAAGGTTTTCCGCTGGTGCCACAGAGGCCCCCAGGGAGCCAAGGAAATGACTGGAGGCCTGGGGGCTCTTTTCCCCATGCACCTCCTTGTGTGTCTTTGCTACTGTGATGCTTTGTCCCCGCCTCCTTCCTTTCCACACTTCCAACCTGGAGTGTCATTGCCATTGGGCATCTCCAGCCCTAGGGCCCCGCTACCCACGAACAGCACCTGAGGTCTTCTCGCTGGTGACTGCTGCATTTCTGGTTGTTCACATACTTCCCACTTCACCCACAAACTTGCTGCTCTCATTTCCCCATTTGGTTCTTCTTTGCTCTAGAAAGTTCTCTTTCCATCCCTGCTCCCACAAACCATCCTTTCTACCTAAGGTTAGAAATGACTTCAGCCCTAATGTCACCTTTCGTACTTCCTAAGAATCACGCTCTTCCTCTTGCTGTGACTCTTGAAAGTGTCATGTTTGAAACACAGTTGCAAATGCAGTTGTGAAATGTTAGACTTGAATAGTTGAAATGATATACATATATACATCAATAAGTGTGTCTAAATGTGTGTGTATGATTTCTTGTTACAGAAACAAAACAGCACAAAAACAACAGCAAAAATAACCAGTGCCTGTCACTGAAGCATTCAGCAGTATTCTGTAACTCACAAAGCTGTCAAATGTGTTGGCGAAACTCAGTGTGGCTTTGTCTCAGGCGGGTTCTGAGCCTTTCTTAATGCTTAAAACAAGCCCAACCCAGCCCTGATTCCAAGGACACAACACCGCAGGCATTGCTCACTTCTTGGTGGCCTACTTAAAATAACCCCTAAATCTAACCCTGTGTGTCCCGGGGAGACCTACTGTACAGGACTTCTTGGGTCAGTTGTGAAGTGACAAGTAGTTAGCACTGATTTTTATGTAAAATGTGTTTAAAATAAGATTAAAACACGTGTGGAAGACTATCATTTAAAGGTCATTTTATAAATGCGGTTTTAACCCAGTTTTTTTAGTTTGTTTTTCTAAATAATAAAGCAACTGATCTCCTTCTGCTACAAAGAGTCATCATTTTAATATATAAAGAGCCCATCAAGAACTCAGTAGCCTGGTGCTATCCTGAGAAAGTGGCCAGCTGGCTCTCAGCCCCGACACCAATCACAGAAGGCTTTGTGCTGTGTCCCGATAGAACATTTATCGTGATTCTGAGTCACAGAGCTGCACGCTGCCATTCTCGTCCTCTGATCAGAGGGTGAGGAGCATGAGGTGTAAAAATCATAGAAATAAGAGGCAGGTGAGCCATTGAGCAAGTTCACTAACACCTGTGACTTTCTAGTTTGGAAAATGCTGATTACATACAACATGAATTATATAAGCAACATGGTGGTGTATGCCTGTAACCCCAGCACTGCAGGAGGCTGAGGCTGGAGGACCACAGGTTCAAGCCCAGCTTGGGTAACTTAGTGATTTATGGAGACCCTGTTTCAAAATTAATAATTAAAGAGGAGCCTAGGGATGTGGCTCAGGGCAAAATCCCTGGGTTCAATCCCTGATACCAAAAATTATACAAACAATAGAAGAACAAGACTGGTGGAATGTTGGGCTCTGTGCCTAGATCCCCAATCTCCCAAATGGGTGCACAGTGAAGGCCCAAAGGAATGAAACAAGCAGCATGATCTTTAGGGCTGCAGGAGGACTGAGTTCCCCAGCAGGGCTGGTAACTCTGCCAGCCAGCCGACTGATGGGTGGCCCGTATTTAATCAGAACAAGCAGGGAGTGGAGTGGACAATGGAGAAAACCTGAGCAGCATCTTGGAGGGATTCAAGGACCCCTCAGAGCAACAGAGGATGCTGATTAAGGAAAACTATCCAGAAAGTCTCCAGGTGGCCTCAGCTGTGGCCTATTTTGCCACTGAGGTGTCTCCTCATTCTCATTTCAACCATGCCAGGCCACACCACAGCTCTGCATGTGTATTCAGTTTCAATGGCTCCGACACTGTAATCATTCTTTCAAAAATAATTGTCTCCAGGTTTGAAGGAAGAATGAAGAGATATGTTAAACTGTTGCCAAAGGTCATAGGAATTCCTGCCTACTCTGCCCCACGACAGAGTCAGGTAGCTGGAGAGAGCACAGGCTATCTTGCTGGGGTGTCTTATGGGTGGGAGAGGTAAGGGCAGATATCAAGAAGAGTCCAAATTTGTCCCTCCTTGGACACCTGGAAGTACTCACTTTTCCTGTTAGGACATCAAAGAAGGAAGAGTACTGTTTTGCTTTCTAGTAAGAGTTTCAGATTTGAGAATCATACAGGACCCATTTTTGTTCGCCATTAAGGAAATTCATCTCTAGACAGCATGACACAATGACAGCAAAATACGTGATTCTTGGTAAGGGACATGATATGCATCGGCTAAAGCCTTGCTGCAAAATGCAGACCTGCAGAGAGAAAGATCAACATAGATTACATCAGGCACTTCACATGTGGCAGCAGCTGGTGATCTCTGAGACAGTGACACCAGGCAACTTTGGCTGAAAATAAATTTTCTGAAGGCTATCAGGAGCTTGTAGTTCTCCAGGAAGACCAGGGAACTGTTTGGAAGTCAGCCAGCCAAAAGAGCTTCACTCCCAGATATGCCCCTGAACAGGCCAGGTAGAAACATTGTTGCTTGCCCCGTGGACACCTGGCTGTCCCTTTGTCTCTGACGACAGCCACAGCTGTTTCTCAGAATAGAAGCAGGCAACATGGAGAGCGGGCAGTGATAGCATGGCTCCTGGTACTGCCTCCCTTCCTGGGCTGGACTCAAATACACCAATCTCCTTGGTCTGATGAGAGCCTGATGTAAGAAAAATGGTTGAGCAGAGTTCGGTTTCTCTATCTGTGGGACAGGGTGAAAGTGGTGCCCACCTCTGTGTTGTCTTGATGTTAAGAAAGATGACGGGCTGGCAGGGTTCTAGCACTGTTCCTTTTTGGAAAGAGGTTGGAGCGGGTTTTTATCCTTGAGGATAATTTCCCAACAGATCAACTTGGCTTCCTGGAAGTGGAGTACGGGAGAGATTGGCCCCCTGGCTAAGCATCAGCCTCATAAGCTTTGAATCTTTCTGGATGGTTAAGTGGAAAACTGGGACAGGTATCCTCTTGGGACCTTTCCCCAAGAGGAGCCTCCCTGTCCCCAGATCTAAGAATCTAGCATCTGTTATTTTCATCCTTTAAGGCAAAGAAGAGCTCCAGAGCCTCACTTGGCTTTGCCAATCCAATCCTCTGCTCTCCTGACCAGGGCCGACTCCCCTGGTGGTGGTTCCCAGCCCTCCGGGACTCCTTTCTCCTATTTAATAAAGACTGTTCTTAGCCTTTTAGACAGGAGCCTGACATCTGATTATGGGGTTGTGAGGCTACGGCATATCATTGGGTTTTTATTGATGTCATGTCAGGGAGGATTATAAGACAGGATACTGATGTTTAAATCCATTTATAGAAAACTGTGTTTTTGAATCATAACATGGTGTCACTGATTTTCAAGAAAGTCAAGAGAAGCATGGCCAACTTTCAACTCAGCCAAGGAATCTGGGCTTTTTCATTTTCTGAGTCAGTAGAGGTTCTGACCTAAACTCAAACTAATCGTTAAAGACACATAATTGAGAGTTATTTGTTGGGTACGTTGCAAATGTAGGGACTGATACTGTAACAGTATCAGCCTCCTCCCCCAGCCAGTATATTTCAGTTTGTTAGTTGCCCAGGGAACAGTTCTGGTGACAGTTCCTGTTATTTTTATTTCTTA